GAGGAAATCACACCACAGGCCTGTGCCAGACAGACCGAAAAGTGAAAGGAGGAGAAGGGAAAGGAAAAAAAAAAAGATGTGGGATGATAAGTGGTCATTAGCATCGATAAATCTGCCACTGACACTTTTTTTTCACAGAGTCTACATCAGAGATATATTAAAGGACATGATCAAAATGGCAAGCAGAAGTGGCTCCCCCTTCAGGTGCAGTTGTCGGGGTTTTGTGGCATTTTGTCAAGAGCCACTGGCAGGAGCCTGAAGAGAAGTCAGGAGAAAGCACAAACAGGCACCAAAAAGAGGAAAGGAAAAAAAAAAGGGCGATTCAGGACTTGGACTTGGAAGAAGATGAATAGATGTTTGTATCTGGATACAAGGAAGTGGGTCTGAACAACATGACTGGGTAGTTTTGTGAATCATTTTTTTTCCAACAGCGTCATCTCAGCTTTCTTTGAGAACACTTTGATGTCAGCCTCACGTGTGTGACGGCCTTTTTGAGCGTTCCCCTATGTTTATTATAATTTCATCATCATGTGGAGTGCCCTGATACAGAAAACATCGATCTGCTTTCTGCACAGACGCCGTCTTACTGTGTGAAGAAGAAGAAGAAGAAGAAGAAGAAGAAAAACAATAACTTTTTTTGCGGTTTTGTGTGACTGTGCAGAGCTTCAGTCTCTCAGCTTTTAGCACAAAATACTCCATTAACAGCAGACAGTTGTTTGGCGGGAGAAAACCCCCCCGCGGGCCGGGGCCAGAAAGACCGAAAAGGGAAAGGAGGAGAGAGGAAAGGAAAAAAAAAAAGATGTGGGATGATAAGTGGTCATTAGCATCGATAAATCTGCCACTGACACTTTTTTTTCACAGAGTCTACATCAGAGATATATTAAAGGACATGATCAAAATGGCAAGCAGAAGTGGCTCCTCCTTCAGGTGCAGTTGTCGGGGTTTTGTGGCATTTTGTCAAGAGCCACTGGCAGGAGCCTGAAGAGAAGTCAGGAGAAAGCACAAACAGGCACCAAAAAGAGGAAAGAAAAAAAAAAAAGGGCGATTCAGGACTTGGACTTGGAAGAAGATGAATAGATGTTTGTATCTGGATACAAGGAAGTGGGTCTGAACAACATGACTGGGTAGTTTTGTGAATCATTTTTTTTCCAACAGCGTCATCTCAGCTTTCTTTGAGAACACTTTGATGTCAGCCTCACGTGTGTGACGGCCTTTTTGAGCGTTCCCCTATGTTTATTATAATTTCATCATCATGTGGAGTGCCCTGATACAGAAAACATCGATCTGCTTTCTGCACAGACGCCGTCTTACTGTGTGAGAAGAAGAAGAAGAAGAAGAAGAAGAAAAACAATAACTTTTTTTGCGGTTTTGTGTGACTGTGCAGAGCTTCAGTCTCTCAGCTTTTAGCACAAAATACTCCATTAACAGCAGACAGTTGTTTATTCATTAGCCTCTTCCTTTTCTTCTCTTTATAGAGGTCAGACTGGAGAAGCTCGGACGCCACGTCTCAGCCCATTGGTTTCCTTTTTATTCCAACGCCATCCAAAACAAAGCAAAAAAAAAAAAAAGTATTTATGTTTCTACAATTCACCTTTAATAGGCTGCTATCAGAACAATAGAGTTAAAAATAACAAAGTTATACAGTGTGCAGTCGCACAGCCAAACAATACATTTCATATTTTCTGTTGTATTCAATTTATAATGTAACGGCAGTTAGAAAATGTGTCTCAGTTCTCAGATTTTAAAAGGACTGTCTTTTAAACCCAAATTTTCTTTTTCTGTGGACCCATATTTTAAAAACCTTCGTGACCCAAGTCAATAGACATTATTCGTAAACTCCTGGGAAACATGATGCGAGATGACCCCAAAAAAAACCAAAAAAAACATTTGTGACCCACGTGAGGGTCGCGACCCAGAATTTGGGAAACAATGTTTTAAAGCATACTCAAATCCTGGACAGTTTGTTTGCATAGACTGTAGTAGTACAAGTAATATTTGTAGAAGTACAAAGACTCTGAGTACCTCAATACCTGAATATTGTAGTAATATGAATTGACATATGGTACATGGTCTTGAAGTGGCTCTTTTAATCCATGTATGTATGTACATATGAATATATATACTATATATATATATATATACACACACATACATTTATTTGTAAGTAGAGTAAGAGCTGTGCAGTTGGAGGGACTAGAGGGTCGGGGTCCATCTGGGATCCACTCTGAGCCCCTTTGTGTCTGATATGGTGATGAACCGATTGACAGACGATGACAGGGAGAAGGTTTAGTGGACCATAATGTTTGCAAATGACATTGTAATCTCTTGTGAGGGAAGCAAGCAGGTGGAAGAGAACCTTGCGAAGTGAAGGCCAGCACTGGAGAGCAGAGAAATGGAGGTCAGTAGAAGTGAGACAGAATACATTAGAATTACAATCAGAGTGACGCAGGTGGAAACGTAAGGCCGCAGGTATAAGAGGCAGTGAACCAAATACCTGGGGTCAACTGGAGTAATGGGCTGTGCTGAAAAGGAGTGGAACCGATTCAGATGTGTTTCAGGGTGACGCGAAACACCAAGACTCAAAAGGCAAGGTCGATAAGACCTGTTGTGAGACCTGCTATGATGTGTGGTTTAAATACAGTGGCACTTTCTCAACAACAGAAAGCAGGCCAGCAAGGTGGATGTTTTGACCAGGATTATAATGTGTATATTTGTATGTATACATAAATATATGTATTTATATATATACATTTTTACTTACTGTACATTTGCTTTCTGTACAATAGGATCTTACATGTCCACCGAGGGCAGTAACATTAAATTACAGTAAATGATTAAATTAAAAAAATGACTCCCGCCTCTCAGAAGACAAAAGTAACTTGTTTTGCTATTAGCAATTAGTCGACGGAGATAGAATTAGGATTTATAAGTAAAGTGTCATTCTTCATCAGTGTCCACTGATTAGACCACTGATTTGGTCAGCCGCATCCCACAGCCATGTTGGAGAAACCTTCCCGTTGTCCTCTCACTCCTCTGTTAACCTTCTCAGCCACATTATTAGTTTTCATTTAATCCTGGCCAATGTCAAGGCCGCTGTCTGCAGCGTTCAGCATGATGGCGAAGGCCTGTGGAGAGACGACTCGTCTACAAGTGTAGGAGCTGTGTAATTAAGCAATAAGCCACGAGAGGCTAAGCTCCGCAGTGATTACCAAACAGCCGATGTGAGGGCTGCGTAGCTGCACACAGCCTGTTTGCAGTTGTAGAAATCAGTGCAAATGGAGATCAGGATCGGCTCGCCGCCTTTGGGGAAATTGAATAAATGCCTTCATTCTCGTTGTGAACTTTTTAAGGTGT